ACCCTTAGGATGCAAGAGAAGGATGCAAGGAAAGAAAATTAGGATGGAGGAATCGAAACTTTTTTGGTATATTGGAATATTTTTGATCACTCCAGTGTCACTTCAAAGCATCATTAGCTGCGCTCAAGGGATCTACCCTTAAAGGGATATTTCACCCAAAAAATGTTTCATTACTCACCCTTATGTCCCAAACCTATAAGACCTTTGTTCATCTTTAGAACACAAATTAAAGGTTGATGAAATCCGAGAGCTTTCTGACCCCGCATAGACAACAAAGCAACTACCACATTCAAGGCCCAGAAGGACATCGTTAAAATATTCCATTAGACATCAGTGGTTCAACCTTAATTTTATGAAGCTATAAGAATACTTTTCATTTTCACATGCATCGTGGTACTCTAATGAACGACTGACACAGAAGAGAAGCAATTGTTGAATAAAGCCTTTTTTTTTTTTTTTTTGCACACAAAAAGTACTCCCGTAGCTTCATAAAATTAAGATTGAATCACTGATGTCACATGGATTATTATTATTCAAGAACTATGATATCAAATATGGGCAGGGCTCACAAAATTTCAAAATCCCTGGTAGCCCTTCGGGCAGGTACTCTTCAAATTTTGGTAGCCCGAAAATTAATTTAACTAGCCCAAATAAAAAAGACCTTTAAAAAAATAAGAATAAATAAATAAATCAGATAGGAGTTTAAATGTCAATCAAAAATATTTTCAATACACAAACATCAACAAATATGAAGGAAGGAATTTTATTTCACTATTTACAGGGTATCTGCAGAATTTAAAAAAATAAATGTAAGGCAATTTATGACCCTTTTTAAGAGCTGCACAAGTAAAATGAACAGTATGAGTGGGGTTGGACAATGTCTGTGGTAACATACAGTACTGAGCCATGAAATTGCATGATTTACAGTTCAGATACAGGTTTTTACAAAAACAAAAATCGTATACAACAGCATTTGAGCCTTTAGACCATTTTTATGAAAAAGGGATAAATAAAGCATATAAATTATGTTAATTTAAAACGTATAAATATTAGTCTTAATTGTTTAGATTTTTAGAAGGCACATTAACTTCTTTCTCATTTACAACTATGGGTTTGCTGCGTAAAAACATGAGTTGATATTTGCATTGATCTGACCATAATCACAAAGAAAGGTTTATTGGAAATGCAAATTTATTCTCTGCCATGAGGTGGCGCTTTAGGAGCGCTGAAATATTGTGGTTTCCCCGGTAACGGCTGTACACAAAGCAGCTCAGCGCTTATAAACGCTGCTTTAAATGCCAACGACATGTTTCTGAGGACAGTCGGTTCCCTTTAGACACATTCAAATAAAGACATCCGCGCTGCGTTTTGACTTGAAACGTGCAGCGCTCATATTTATTCAATGACATCATTGCCTTTTGAAGTTTAATCCAGCCGTATCGCGACTCTTGTCTTTCGGTCCCCAACTGTAAGACCTCTTGAAATTATAATTAAGACATTTCTTATACCATTTAACGTATTTAAAAGTTTTTATGGCCTTAAGTTTGATACAACTCACTTTAGGAGTTTTTAAGGACCCGCGGGGAGATCTGCATTTAAGATAGCCCGTCGGGCAGAGTGGTGATACATTTTGGTAGCCCGACTGGAAAACAATAGTCCTGAGACGTCGGGCTAGCGATTTTGCGAGCCCTGATGGGTCACAGGCTCAAGGATCGAGAAGTGAGGAAAATGAGGAAGCATCAATTTGAGTATTGAGAAGCACCCATATCATGTCATTCCAAACCTGTATGACTTTTTCATACAAACCTGTATGAACACAAAAGTAGATATTTTGAAGAATGTTTCACCCATTTTTGTTCATACAATGAAAGTCATTTTCACTTTCATTGTATTGACAAAAAAAAAATAGTATGTTAAGAAGAACAAAGACAGTCATGCAGGTTTGGAATGACATGAGGGCGAGAAAATGATGCCCTTTTTAGTGAACTATCCCCAACTATAAATATTTGTGTGAACTAAGTAAAAAATGGATACGTCATCTTCATCATTATAATCAAACCAACAAAGAAATGGGGAGGTGAATTCTGATTTTTGGCAGAAAGCAGGCAGGTGGGTTGATCCGCCCACCTGAGTGAAATCTGCTCGTTCAAAGCAGGCCGTCCCAGCACTGAAGTTACATAACCAATGATACAAGTCTGATCTTGTACAGTTCTGTTGTATTCCATGTCCACCCACCATATGGACAAACAACACAATGCAACAAGGAAATGGTCATGAACTCAAAAAAGAAACCTGCACTTTTTTTGCATTAAACTTGAAAATAAATCTGATACTTCTTGATCCCAAACGATCTCTGAATCTCAACTCAAATCCTCATCCTAAGGTAACACATTCTGGTTTTCAGTGAAAACACTGTGTTAGTAAATACAGAGCTTGGCTGAGCTGACTGCTGAACAATAAGTGTAACACTGTAGTTGCTCTGGCAGACTCACAGCACTGCGGAATGGCCTAATCACCATGGCATTCTGCTGCTGCTGCCAATCAGAGCCAAGCAAGTAGGGGGACAAACTTCCTTCCGAGTCCATTCATACCACAAAAGCCACCTGCTGTGCCTGTCAAAGGCTGGAGCAAAGGGTGAGGGAGGACAGAAAAAGATGGACATGAGGGATGCATAGACCCATAACCACCATAGTCAACCCCCTTCTACCCCTGCCAGAATCATGAATATACATAGATACATCTTTAGCATAGACAGAGATTTAACCAATGCATTTGTAGTCCATGTAATACTACTTTTAGCCCTGTCAAAATAACACCCTGCTCTGCATATTAGTTAACATTGGTACAGAAATAGCATCACTGATCACTGTCATTCTATGTACACAGTCTTGAGCAGGGGTGCCCAAACTCGGTCCTGGAGGGCCGGTGTCCTGCAGAGTTTAGCTCCAACTTGCCTCAACACACCTGCTGGTAAGTTTCTAGTATGCCTATAAGAGCTTGATTAGCTGGTTCAGGTGTGTTTAATTGGGGTTGGAGCTAAACTCTGCAGGACACCGGCCCTCCAGGACCGAGTTTGGGCACCCCTGGTCTTGAGGCTAAAATCCCTTGTCTTATAATATTTACATGGTCTTCCCAGTGAGTGTGTGTGTGTGTGTATAAAGGGTCATAAAGGGACATAGACAGTTCCTGAACTGAGAGTGGGAAACTTCTAAATGAAACCAAGCTAATCATCTTTGTGGCATATTGGTTAAATCTGGGATTTTCTGGTTTCAGGTCCTGGTTTTGGTGAAAAATTCAACAGAATCTTTACTGTAATTTCTGTCAGGGTTGTCAATAATTCTTGTTGATCTTGAGTATAAAATCAGCATATTAGAATGATTTCTGAAGGATCATGTGACACTGTAGACTGAAGTAATGGCTGCTGAAAATTCAGCTTTTTCATCTGCAAGAATTAGCCTACATTTTGAAATATTGCAATATAAAACAATATATTACAATACAAAATACCTATTTCAAATTGTAATAATATTTAACTAGCCTATATTACTGGTTTACTTTATTAAATAAACAATGTTGGTGAACAAAAGACACTTTCAAAAATATTACAGTAAAATAAAGTTAAATATAAAAGTGATATCATTTTTTATAACATTGCATAGAGAGAAAACGAGAGAGAGAAGTTCTGAAGTCTGTTTTGCTATATTTGTCTTTTACATTATTAAAGGGGTCATATGATGCTTTTTTTAAAGATCATTATTTTGTGTATTTGGTGTAACAGAATATGTTGACATGCTTTAAAGGGGTCATATGATGCGATTTCAAGTTTTCCTTTCTCTTTGGAGTGTTACAAGCTGTTCGTGAATAGATAAGATCCCTGAAGTTGCAAAGACTAAAGTCTCAAAACCAAAGAGATATTCTTTATCAAAGTTAAGACTCACCCACAACAAAACATTAAAGCATGTCAACATATTCTGTTACACCAAATACACAAAATAATGATCTTTAAAAAAGCATCTTTCACAAAAGGGCCATGACCTGCATGAGTGGTAGTAACATGTAGTATACAGAAGACAGGATCAAAAGGAAACAGATCAGAGAGCTGAAGATGGCATCCTTCCCTTCACTCAAGAGTCAAGTCAGCATCAGGCAGTGGGGCAGAGGTTGTGCCCACAGAAGGATTACTAAAGGAGGATTAATCAGGCGCTTGCGCACGCAAGAACTCGGCTTTGTTATGACATCCTTTCATTAATTATTCACTGTAAACAACCGAAAATGGTGTGAAATGCCCGGATGTTGAGAGTACCTACAAACTGGAGTGGATGGTTAACTGCAAGAACTACAACACACTGGAGAAGAGGTCTAATTGTTAAGATTGCACAACCGATCACGAGTCCCTCTCAAACGTCATTAAAATCTGAAATTGTATAAAGACTTAATGGCGGAAAGTTAGCCTACATAGTTTACTGATAAAGAATTACACTATGTCAAAGCGAGTCGTTCACACACTGGTCCAAAGTATGGATCACCCCATGTTCCCTGTGGCGTGTATGTAAACTACAGGCCTGCATTGTGGACATCTGTCTACAAAATCCTCATAAACAGACAGAAATGCGAGTATACACGAGTTTCAAAGTACTGGCGTTCACAATAACGTCCGATTAATGGCGAACGGGACGTTTACAGCGTTTCCTCGGAAATCTACGGTCCAGGTGGGAACTTTGAGGAGCCACGTTTCATTCTCGGTCTCTGTCGAAGCGAACACGGTAACGTTAACGTTAGTCGGGCGGCTTCGAAACTTCTTTCGAGAAATACAACTAGTTTTGGGACAAGAACGCGTCTGCCGCAGAGATTTGTATTCAGGTTAGGAGAAAACACAGAACTAAGCGCCCACTGTTGTTTTCAAGCACAATCACACACTCGTTTCACACAAAATCAAAGGCGAGAGGAGACTAGGCCAGTTGACTACACTTTCACGAAAGGAACCGAATCGGTTTTCTTACCTTTGCCGAATCGGTAATTTTTTCTTGAGGTTACATACGCCTTCCGACCGCTTCGTCGTCAGTAACGTTAAATGTTTCAGTGTTGCACTTAAACTGGTATTGTTGTGTTCAACTTGAAAATCACAGTCTGTCCCATTCCTTTGCCATGTAACACCTCACGAGACGTGATAAATAAATGCTGTGCCCAATAGAGGGAAAATCCGTGATAGATATTATTAATCCAGTCACGTTACTTGGTTTTGTTCTTGTGTTGCAGTAAAAGGAAAAGAGTAACAGCGACCAATCCTAGCAAACAAAAACCTTTAAACCGGAACCGGTAGAGCTTATGCGGCTATGCTACATGACAAAAGACAGCTCTAGGAATAGTGGATGGACTCCCGCAGATGTTCCCCCTCCCTCCGCTCTGAATTGGTTTAACTTGCAGCAACGCATCCCACAATATGGCCGCCGCAGGGAATGGTGAACGGAAAGAAATCACAGTCTCTCAGTTGGCAAGTAGAGGAAAGACGATGAGCCAGTGATATTTTAAGCATAATAGTACTGCAGGTCGCCTTTGTATTACGCAAACATAAGTAATAACACTAGACGGCTCGTAGTGTACGGTGTTTAGATCAATCTTATGGCGCCATCTGCCTGTGGACTTAAATCACTGCAGCTTTCTAGCATTCGTTTACGTTTAGTAAGTAGTGAGCCTACATCCTGGGCACATTTCACGGATACATTGCACTGGTGTCCAGTGATGTTTTAAAATATTTGAAGCACAAATCAAATTAGATATGCTTGGTAATCAATTGTCTAATATAAAATGAACCATTCATGAAATATATGACACCCAAGGAGTAACATAATTTGCCAAATATAGATACTATACTCCCATGATACCATTTAGAAAAAAAGCCAAAATAAAGTTAAAATGGCAAGTTTTAAAATGAATACTTCTAACACATATGGTGAACAGTTAAAAAAAAAAGTTCTGGTCATTAAAATACAAAATTTGGTATTACATCGGGGGTGGACTTAAAGGCCTGAACTTGGTCCTTCTGCCCCATGAACAGGCAAGGCAATGCTGACACCAAAATAGAAATATTCACGATTCTGCTTAGCTAAAAATTTAAAATTATATTAGACACAGATACTTACACTCTGTCCATGACATAAGCATATATGATGTTTATGTAGGGTGTTTTAAATAAAAATAAATAAATAACTTAAATAATTAAATTTAATAATTAATTGTTAATTTATTTATATAAATAATAAAACATGGAAGCTCAAATGTGTGACCTTTTGAGTTTCCCATATTTGTTGTGCCATTACTATATTTGATTTTTTAACTTTTATTTTAGGTCTGCTATAACCAATATACATATTGTCACTATTTTTGTATTGCGATATATATTGTGACACGATATATTTTTACATCCCTAATATGTGACCCAGGACCAAAAAACCAGTCATAAGGGTCCAATTTTTTTTATTATTGAAATTTGATCAAAATGAAATGATAATAAAAATGCTTTCCATTGATGTATGGTTTGTTAGGATAGGACAATATTTGGCTGAGATACAACTATTTGAATATCTGGAATCTGAGGGTGCAAAAATAAATCAAAATACAGAGAAAATCGCCTTTAAAGCTATCCAAATGAAGTCCTTAGCAATGCATATTACAAATCAAAAATTAAGTTTTGATATATTTAAGGTAGGAAATTTACAAAATAACGGATGAGACATTAAACCGAGGTCCTCACTCTCTGTGGCCATTAAAAATCCCAGGATGTCCTTCGAAAAAGAGTAGGTGTGGAACCCCTGCATCCTGGCCAAATTCGCCCATTGGCCTCTGACCATCATGGCCTCCTAACCATCCCCATATCTGCTGATTGGCTTCATCACTCTGTCTCCTCTCCAACCAATAAGCTGGTGTGTGGTGGGCGTTCTGGCGCACTATGGCTGCCGT